TTTCACACAGACATTTTTCGGAATTGTTCCACGTTTCGAAGAAAGTATTGAATGGTCAAATCGGATTTGGAATGAATTGCCAAATCTTGTCAACGTTACGAGATTATTAAATGCTTTTAGAGAAAAAGAAAGAAGTAATGAAATCAAGAATTCTTTCATTAAATTTGTTTGGAATAATCATAGAGACTTGCTCTATAAAATTCCAGTTTTATTTAACCAAAACAATGAATTTGTCGAATATACAGATGAATTCGCTGATGGTTTGAATGTTCAAGAAGATGCAGTTGATTTAATGGAAGAGTTAAATATTCAATGGAAAAAGAATCATTTGAATAAGTGCATAACTTCAATAAATCTTCCTGTAATCCATGATCATAAGTATGCAATGAGTACAATAAAACAAATTAAAAGTCCAATGAAAAACTACATCATTACTCGCTATGTCATCAAAAATAATGAAAAAAGAGAGAAAATGTTCATGTTTTCAAAAGAGTTTTTTCCTAAAAAATTTCAACAATATGGTAAACCTGTTGAATCTTACAAAGCTGAATCTCTTGATTCTGATTTATGGGATGCGTCTGATCAGCAGTTGTTTGAAGACATGATGTCAATTATTGAAGAAAAAAGAAATATTAATAAGGTAACAATTCCAAATTTAGTTGAGTTCATTGATTTTGTTCGAAAGTATTACCAAGATCCGAATGTCTTTGATGAAAGATGCTTAATTCCTGCAAAGTCAGGGAACCTTCACAAATTAAAACAACTTTTTGAAGAGAAAAATATTCCAAAATTATTAATTAATGATGCAAACAAATATTTGAATTATGATATAAATGATGAAATGAAAGATCCAACTTTTTCTTGCATAACTGCACCCAAAGAATTCAATTTAATCAATTTAATGACAATTGTAAACAAAAAGTTGTCATCAAATAGTTTAATTACTGATGAAAAAAAACTTCAGATGTCATTAACAATATTATCTTTTCTTCCAGAAGAAGAAGGTGACTTAAAGAATTATCAATCTCATTTGCAAGAGGCAGCTAAAAAGCTTGATTTTCAGGTTTCTTCAAATGAAAATATTTCTAATCAAACAAAATTTTTCTGGGAACAAGCAAATTTGGTAATTATTCAAACAATTGAATATGCTATTTCTAAATGTAATAATTCACAAACATTTAAATCAAGATTTAATATACAAATTGATGAGTACTTGAATAATTTTGTTGATTTACTTCATCCAGATAAAATTAAATTAATTCCCAATCAAGAAGGAATTTTTTGCCTTCGTACTGAGATTTCAAATGATATAAATATACCTGATTCAATTAAACAAGTTTTTAAAGTTCTAAATGAAGATTTAAAGCCAAAATTAAAAATGAAAACAGTTGATATTAAATGTAATAAAAATGAATCAATTGATACAATTATTGGAAAAATGAATGAGTTTCTCAAAAATGCAGAAAAAGAAAAGCAACAAATAGCTGCATCAATGATTATTGATTTGCTTCCATCAGATCAAGCAATTATTTGTCAACAGAAAAATATTCAAACACTCTATCATAATTTAACCAACAATCCATCAAATATCTCTCAAATCAATTGTTCAAATGAAGCCTTTTGGATTCCAGCAAATAAAATAATAATTAATTATTATCAGCACTTGATTGAGAAATCCCAATGTATGAAAAATCTTGAGCTCAAAACTAGAATTACTGATTTCCAATATATTGAACTTTTAAATGCATTTCATTCGTATTTGCAAATTGATGAGATTGCACTTATACCAAATTATTATGGCCATTTCAAGAAAAAAAATGAACTTTATGTCTTACATTTACCAGCAGAAATATTTAAAGCAATTAAAAAATACCTAAAAATAGATTTGTTTGTTAATTTTATTGATCAAAGGGTCAAAATTGAAGTAAATGAATATTCAATATTCAATACGGCCAAGATTATAAATAATAATTTTTTCCAAGCTAATGAAAAATCTCAATTTCTATTGTCAAAACAAATAATAAGATTTATACCAAAAAGAGGAGAATTAAGTGAAAAGCTTAGAAATCTATTAAATATTGCCAATGCTTTTGATGACACAAATTTGAATCCATTTGAAGTTGAGCAATGTGATAACTTATATTCTTATGCTCAAGCAATTGTAATTAAATACATTAACCAAAAAATTGAAAAATGCAAATCATTAGATGGATTAAAAACTTATTTCCCTGATCCAATTTTATTTTTGAATACAAATAAGCAAATATTAGATACAAAATATAAAATTGTTCCAGATCAAACTGGTAACTTTCATAAAATTGATGAACTTTATCAGGATTGTGGAATTTATGATGAGTTAAAACAAATACTTTTTCATAAAATAAACTTATATGAAAAATTAATTCACAAAGAAATAACTGCTTTTCATTCAGATAAAACATGGAATAATGATTCAACTCTAGAGTACATTAATATATATGCATCAGATATTGCTCATGAAATGATTTATATTTTTCCTGAAGATGAAAATGAAAAGCAACAACAGTTATTTAATCTTTATACTTCATTTAATGAAAAAAGCAAAGAACCAATTATGTTAAAACTTCCAACACATTTTTGGGAGAAAACCAATGGTTTTATCATTGATGGCATTGTTAAATGTATAGAATCAAAAAAGAATCTTCTTGAAATATCAGAAAAAGAGGATAAAGCAATTGAGATATTAAAAACTTTATATGAATTTAGGTCTCCAATGAACAGCAAATATCAAAAGATTAATATGATTCCCAATCAATTGGGAGAATTAAAATGTTACAATGATTTATATAAAGAGGAATGTTGCATTCCGGATGATTTTAAGGATGTTTTGACTAATTATTTTTCATTTGATATAAGAAGCATGCTTCAAGATTCTCGTCTTTCAATCAAAGTTGAAAAATCATTAAGTGTAGATTCTTCGAAGGTATCAAAAGTCATTAAAGAAGGATTTATGATTAATATACCTGAAAAAACTTTAATTGAAAGATCAGAGAAATTTATCATATTTCAACCATTGGAAGAAAATGCAAAAATTCAAAAATTTGTCAATTGTTATAAAGGCATCTGCAAAATGTCTTTTGATCCAATAAGCATTTCAACATCTAATTCACATTTATGGGATGTTCCTATTAAAGTATTGACAAAAATAATGACTGACACATTGATTGCAGATGAAACAATTCAAAATTGTTGCCGAAGAATTTCAAAAAATGAAAATGAAGTCTTTCATTTGTTAAATGAATTTTATTATTTTGAAAAAGAAGCTCCAATTTATCCAAATATGCTTGGGAAGTTTTGCTATCAATCCAAAGTTTTCACACCAATTGAAATTGATGATATGATTCTTGATATATATGCACTTTTAAATCCAAAAGATGATTTTCGAAAGCAACTAATCCATCCTAAAATCAATGCAACTTTTTCAAAGAAACGTTTGAATGAAATTGCAGTGAAAATAGATGAAGAAATTAAAAAAATAATGAATGATAAACATAGAAAAAATGATGAAAAAGTTATTCAAGGATGTAAATTGCTTATATATCAATGGATGAAAGAAAATAGCTCAAAAAATGATTTGCTTCCTTATGTCATTAAAGAAAAAATGAACATAATTGTAGATATTATTATTGATGAGAATAAAAGAAGTGCATTGAAAGATATTCTGGATAAAAGCCCTGAAAGGTTCCCTGAATTAATATTTGATGCTATTTTATTAGAGCAAAAGCAAAAAGAAGAGAAGGAAAGAAAAAGAAAAGAAGATGAAGAAAATGAACGAATAAGGCGACAAAATTTAGAGAGGAGACAAAGATTACTTGAAATGGAAAGACAAAGAAGATTGCAAAGACAGAGACAAAGAGAAGAAAATGAGAGACAGAGACAAAGAGAAGAAAATGAAAGACAAAGACAAAGAGAAGAAAATGAGAGACAGAGACAAAGAGAAGAAAATGAAAGACAAAGACAAAGAGAAGAAAATGAAAGACAAAGACAAAGAGAAGAAAATGAAAGACAAAGACAAAGAGAAGAAAATGAGAGACAAAGACAAAGAGAAGAAAATGAAAGACAAAGACAAAGAGAAGAAAATGAGAGACAAAGACAATTACAAAGGCAGAGAGAAGAAAATGAAAGGCAAAGACAGCCTAACTTTAATGTTCATAATTTTGCAGTAGGGCAATTTACACAGCCAATAACTGTCATTCCATATAGGAAAAAAGTAATGAATCAAGTTGAATCATCATTAAGAAGAATTTTCACAAACGTTAATTCTGATGAACAAAATAAAAATGCTTATTACTGTAGTTTTGTTAATGAAAATGAAGATTACCTAGATGACTTCCATGTTGTAACATTATTTTCTGATTCAAATAAAAATATTCAATTAAATAATATTGAAGTTGAATTAGCAAGTGAATTTTTGTCTTTATTTGTCATAATCGTGGCACCTATAGAAAGTGAATATCATGAATCTAATTTCATTAACGAAATTAAAATAATTGCAAATATTGGATATGATTTGGAAGGATACGATATTGTTAAACATTTTGGTAGTCTCATATCAATAAATGATGATGATTTTTCATTAAAATTGAATGATAACTATCATTTATTGATCAAAGAAAAATATATTAATAATCATTGTATATCTTTCAATGATTGGGAATCAGAATTAAAAGAACTAATGCATCAAATATGAAGACAGTGATTTTTTTGCAGAATCGACATTTATAAGTTTTGATTATGCATATCATATCAAAGTAATAATCCATAAGTAAATCATTTTTTTAATTTTTCTTTTTATCTTGTGTGCTAAAAAAATCAATCTTAAATTCATAAACACAATCAAGAACTTGAATCTTGAGCTGATTGTGAGTTGAAGAATATTGAATTTGGACATTTTTTTTTCTAAATAAGTAATTGTTGGTACAAAAAAATATATTGAGCTAAATAAATATATAAATGTAAAAGGGTAAGTGGTACAAAGGTAGCACATTTGACTGTGAATCAAAAGACACGAGTTCGATTCTCGTCTTACCCATGTTTTTGATTTTTTATTCTTATTATTTTTAAAACTTCATGTCCAATTGATTTAAATTTGCAGAATTTCACAAAATTTATTACAAAAAAAGAAAATTCATTTTATTTATTAAAGTAAAAAAATAAGTGATTCACAATAAAGACTTACAGGTGTATTATAATGATATTAGCATACATAAAAGAATAAATAATGATTAATTTTATTGATTTTTGGTGGTAATAAACAATATTGTCATTGAATTCAGTGGATTTAAATTTAATATATTAAATCAACTCATGATCATCGGCTGCTTCATTATTTCATTATCATTTTTTGATGATGAAAATTGCCCTTCATTAGTTCCAAACTTACTGCAAAATGAATAGAGTTTTTTTTTCTCTTAAAAAAAAAATTATATCAAAATGACTGTATTATGTTACACATCATATCCAAAACCTTCATAAAATAATTCATTAATATCTCGTAAAATGATATTTTTTGTTTCTATTTTTTCTTTATTTTTACTTTCTTGATTTATACGACCAAATAAAATTGAATATGGAGGTGTATATAAAATCGTTTCCATTGTATGAATGATGTCTATGATTTCGCTAATTAAGTAGCTTTTTAAATTCTCTTTTTTCATTGAAAAATCAAATAGTTGACTAGTGTTTTCGAAAATATAATCATCAAATCTTGATAGCTGGAGTTCCTTCGATTTTTGTATTGATTGGTTAAAATATGAAGAGTCAATGTCTAAATTAAAATTATTTTCTTTTTGTTTTATTAAATATTCTTCATCTGTTGAATCTTTTAAATTATTTTCTTTTTGTCTTATTTTTGCAACTTCTTTGTGGTCATTAAAAGACAGATGAAACAGATTTTTAATATCGTCTTTAATGTTCAAATTCAAATATGGCTGGTTAATCAAATTAAATGAGGGAAAATTAAAAATAAAAGCTTTTAAATACAAAAACGGATTTTTGGCTTTTTCATTAACAAAACGAAAATGGAATTTGTATGAGCTTGATTCAAATTTAGCGAATGTTCTGATGAAGTATTTTTTAGATTCATTGAGATTTTCATTGGAAAAATAAAATTTAGTGAGTTTTAAATTTGTCAAACAAATGATGAATTTTTTGGATATCTCAAGTTGCTTATCATTATGACGATGATTTTGAAATGACAATTGTAAGTTTTCATCTTCTGATGCTCTTATATAATAAGTAATTGATTCTTCATTTTTATCATTATTTTCTAGATAATGAGCAAGATTATATTCAGCAAGTGCGAAATGTTTTTTTGATGATTTTGTGTACATGTATTCGGCATTTCCTTTCTCATTGAAATAAATTTCATTTAATAAACCAAAGTTATTTTGACCAAATGGATATTCGCCAAATGCAGATTGTTTTATGTATTCATTTGCTTTTTCAATATCATTAAAAATAAGCAAATAAATTAAATCAACATCATTATATGAACGATAAAAAAACTTATTGTATCTATGAAATCTGAAATAACGATCCCTGTAATCTTTTACTATTTCTTTTTCATTATGTATTTGGCTGCATTTAATAAAATATTTAACAGCTTTTGTGAAATCAACTAAAATATCAATATTCGAATACATGCGTGCCAAATTGAAGAATGAATGTGAATTGTTAAACTTTGCTGAAAGTTGATAAAAGTGCTTTGCTACTAAAATATTTTGTTTAACTCCATGGCCTTTTCTATATAAATGTCCAATCCATAAAAGAGAATCAGAATGATTAAACTCAGCTGATAATTCATAATATTCTTTTGCTTTATGATAATCTTGATCAACTCCAAGTCCTTTTTCATACATATATCCTATTCTGTAATATGATACGGGATTTTTAAATTTAAGTGATAATTGGTAATATTCAAATGCTTTTGAATAATTTTTATCAACTCCAATCCCATTATAATAAAGCTTTCCCAGCCTTATGAATGATATTTCATAATTTAATTTAGCAGATCTCTCATAATAATGTCTGGATAATAAATAATCTATTGTGACTCCGTTACCATGTTCATACAAATTTCCTAATTTATCAAGTGCATCTTTATTATTATATTGAGCTGCTATTTCATAATATTCTTTTGCTTTTGAATAATTTTGTTTAACTCCATGTCCACTGAAATAAAGATATCCTAAATTTGTAAATGCTTGTGGATTGTTTAATTTGGATGCCAATTTATAATATTCTATAGCTTTTACATAATTTTTTTCAAAAAAATAAAGATTACCCAATTTTAGTATTGCCCTTGAATTGCACATTTTTGCAGATATTTCATAATATTCTTTTGCTTTTGCATTATCTTTTTTAACTCCATATCCATGATAATAAAGACTTCCTAATGAAATATAAGCTTTTGAAGTATTCAATTTGGCTGACATTTCAAAATATTTTCTAGCTTTATCATAATCTTTTTCAACACCATCGCCATATTTATATTGATTCCCTAAATCAATAAGATCTTCTGAATTAAAATCATATTTTGCTAACAGTTCATATTCTTTTGCTTTCGTTTCATTTTTTTCAACACCATATCCATATCGATATATATGGCTCAAATTATAAAAAGCAAATGAACAATTTAATTCTCCAGATTGCTCAAAATATTCTTTTGCTTTTTGATAATCTTTTTCAACTCCTTTACCGTTATAATAAAGGTCTCCAAGATAACTAATAACTTCTGCATTATTCTTTTTTGCAGACAACTCATAATATTCTTTTGCTTTCGAATAATCTCGTTCTGGTCCTAGTTCGTATATCAAACCTAAATTTGCTAAGGAATTTGAATTGCTTAATGATGCAGCTAATTCATAATATTCAATTGCTTTTGAATAATTTTGTTCAACGCAGTTTCCATAATGATACATATATCCAAGATTATTAAGTGCAGTTGGATCATTCCATTCAGATAATAATTCATAATATTCTAATAGTATTGACTTAATTCTTTGTTCAATCTCGGAATTTATTAGAAAATTTGATTTCATTTCGTTTTCTAATGGGTTTAAAAATGAATAATTTCGTAAACATTTTTGTTTAATCATCATGTCTTCGAAAATGAATTGTGATAGTTCTTCTTCTTCATAATTGGTTATCTTAGATTGTTCTTGAGATGAAAAAAAATTAATTTCATTACTTATAATGACTTTAATCATTTCATCTGTTAGCCTCTTGGATGGTGAATAATGAACACAATTTTTATACATATTTTGAATGCCAAATGAAGCTTTTGTTAATTGAGGAAATTCATCTAAAAAATCATATTTTTATCTTAAATCATGTTTTTCATATATAAAATAAATTACCAATCCAAAAGAATAAATATCAGTTGAATAAGAAACTTTATTTCCATAATATTGTTCTGGTGATGCGTACAAATCTGATCCAATATCATTTGTCATTGAAAATTCAGATGATTCGCCTGTTTCTGTATCGTTTTTTAAAGAAAGAATTGAGTCAAAATCTGAAACAAAAGGTAAAAAGTTTCTATCAAGGAGAATATTTAATGGCTTGATGTCTCGATGAATAAGAAAGTTTGAATGAAGGTACATAATTCCTTGAAAAATTCTATTGATAATTATTAGTTTATTCAGTTCATTAATGTCTGAATTTTTGATATAAGAAGCAAGTGATCCATTACTTAAATATTCATAAATAAAGCCTATGATTTCACCATCTTCTTTCACAAATCCATAAAAACGTGTCAAAGAGCGATGTCTATAGTTCTTACAAAAATTAATTTCGTGTTGAAATTCAATTTCATTTCTTATTTTTTTCATCATGAAAATACGATATTTTTTTATATGGAAAACTAGATTAAAAAAAGCTTTGTTTCTCGATTCAACACATCGTAAAAATATAAAATCGCTTTCAGCAAATTCTTCATATTGAATTTCATGTGAAAAGTTTGTCTTTTTGCACTCAAAAAGTGGATTTTTTGAGAAAAAGTAGGTTGGATAAAAATAACTTCGAATTAAAAAGCCTGAAAGAGCTCTAATTGTCAATTTAACAAATTTATTTGTTTGAATATCAAATCTAAGATTTTTATGTAAACAAAAATTGTTGATTTCAGTATTAAATTCTTCTTCTTCTTTGGTTTTTTTAAAGAATAGGTTATTGTTGCTAGCGTTTAAGATTGAAATATGATTATTTTTGAGATCATTGATAATTTCATTAATAATATCATAATTTACTTCTAAAATAATAAAGCATATCCCTTCAGCACATATAATTAAATCAAATTTTTGTCGATTTTGATTATTATCTATAAAATATGTAATAAATTTGAACACTTTTAGAAAATCTAAAAAAAATCCCGTAGCGCATTCTGAATGACAATATTTATATTTGAATTTTGAATAAAGAGTTCTAATGGTTTCATTTTTAATCATTTCTTTCATCAATATGAATTGTTCTGGGATATCATCAAAAAATATAAAGCAAGTATGATCTCTCCGAAATTCATCATGAGGAAGTAGATGATCAATGAAAAAATCTTCGTAAAGCATTGTTATAAAGTGGTTTCAGAAACGTTAGTCCACTTGTTTTTAACAAAATATGGCAAAAAAAAATTTTTATTGAATTGTTTTATTATTGTTTTTAATTCAAAAAGAAAAATATTTATTAATATGATAAAAAGAGGGATATTTTAAATTGTGATAACTTTATTTTTTGGAGGTTTTGTTATAGGTACCTATTTTAATATCAAGCCAAATATATTCACAATTTTTATTTAATTTTTTTTTTTTTTTTTTTTTTTTTTTTTTGCATAAATTCTGATGCAAGACAGGTTTTTTGAGTTTGCAAAATTGTATAAAATTCATCATTAAAAGTTATCCACATGTACTTTGCTTTTATTTATAAATAAAATCGGAGCATGTTTATACTGAAATGGTCCTTTTTATGAATTAATCGAGTGCAATTCCAAATCCATCATAGAATTCTGATGAAATATCTCTTATATAGTAATATTTTGGC